TTAAAAGAAACACATAATACAAAAGTAAAAAAAAAAAAAATTAAATGGAATATCCCAAACCCAATTAAAATTGACAATGACATTTAAAAAAAAAAATTCGAATTAAAATTAACAGTGATCGATAATTTATTTTGTTTTGTTCAGGCCACTGCAGCATCCCCAGGACTCCACGTCATCGAAATTCGGACGCTTGGCAACCGATTCATTTTTACGACGGCTGCAGTGTCCTGGAGTCACGCGATCCGCTTTTGGGACTTTCTGGCAAGCCACGTCCACAGGGAAGCCAGATTCACTTTAACAACCACGTTACTAACTTAACAAATGCAACGATTCGCTTAACAACTGTGGCAAGGGAAGCTGTAAAATGGAGCAAACTCACTTAAGAAATGTTTCACTTAAGGACAGAAATTTGGGGCTCCCTTGTTATCATCATTCGAGGACTACCTGACTTTTAGCTTCAAATCATATTAAAAAAGATTAGTCAGAAATGCCCGAGAAAACCTATTTATACTTATGAGAGAGTAAAACTATCTTTTCAGGGACAACCCCCCCCCCGGTCCCCCTGCTAACCGCTGCCTATTGGATTTCGCTACTCTAGGGAATCTTTCTTGGGTAACCTTGATGGAATGAGCCCTTAACCGGCTCCTTTGCCTGAATCCACCCTTTGCTGATCAACCACCATCCGCTGCCATTATGGGGAGCCACCGAATGAAAATATACACCTCGGAAGATTAATGGCTTGTGGGGAAGCTTATGCACAATATCAAGAATTCCTAATAAGCATATTTCCCCTCATTTTGGAAAGTGCGGCTGCAGAATATTATATATACTTTTCAAAATATTTTCTATTAAATACAGACTGGGGTTGGGGCTTTTTTCCCAGAAAGAGAAAAGGATCAACAAGGATCTTTCCACTGACGGGTTGAAAGACGAGACTTAACTGAAACGCAACTTGGCAGTCTTGCGGGGGTGGTTGAAAATAATGCTCGTCCACAGGTTGTTGGAGAAAAGTGGGTGACATATTACTGTATTTTTCAGAGCATAAAATGCACCTTTTTCCCCAAAAAAGAGGGTGAAAATCTGGGTGCGTCTTATACACTGAATACAGCATTTTTGGCCTACTGAAATCCCACCCTCTTTGCAAAAAATGGATGTGCAGAGGGTTTGGGAGGCTTGCAAAGTGCTCCGGGGGACTGGGGAGGGCAAAAATTACCAAACAACAGGCTGTTTTTGCTTGTTTTTGCCCCCCCCCCCAACCCCCAGGAGCACTCTACAAGCCTCCCAAAGCATCTGCATGCCCCCCCCTTTTTTTTTTGCAAAATATGAGGCACGCAGAGGGTTTGGGACAGTGGTGAAATTCATTTTTTTTTACTCCTGGTTCTGTGGGCGTGGCTTGGTGGGCGTGGCAGGGGAAGGATACTGCAAAATCCCCNACTGTCTCCCCACAATTGTGCTTGGTGTCTCCGCTATACAATTCAACAACTGGGGAAAAAATCATTATTCC